CTTCTGTAGGAAAATGCTGTCATAATTGTTCAGTCTACCACTCCTAGGTGAAATTAGACTGGTTATGTGGCTTGGATTTTAGTTACGTACGTGATTGCCTTGACTTCATAGGCTCACCAGTGTGACACATTTGTTCTCAGCCAACAGGACAGGTTTTATCTTGAGTAGCTTACAGAAAAAGAGTGTCGTTCACTAAGGAAAATGACTTTGTCTCGCGGTGCATGAGAGCTTGCTTTTTCTGTCAAGTCTCCTGGAGAGACTGCTGTTGGAAAGGAGTTGGAACATCTTAAATTCAAGATTCTTTGAATAGTGCTAAATGCTTTGCTACTCTGTTTGGAAAGATTATAAGCTGCCGTGCTGACTGGATGTGATATTCATTAGAGAACTTTCTGGCAAAATACAGCCAGCGAGAGACAAAGGTTTAGCAGTATTGTTTGAGTGCCGTTAGGGCACATTGAACAGCGTTGGCTTTCTGTCACCATCTTCCGAGCATCTCATACAACTATGGGTAATTCTGGGCTTCTTGTTCAGAGCCAGCTGGAGAATGGGCGCGCGGCAGGGTATAAAGGGGCAAAGGTTCTCCTGAAGTGGTTTTTGTGATAAATGTAGCTATATAATCATTTGGTTAACTTGTTATTCAACCAGTGCAGAGCAGTCTTTGGCCTTAAATCCAGCTTAGCATGTTGATACGTTTCGGTTGCATAGTGCTACCAGTGAGACGACTCTTGTTTGACATATTCAGCCATTTGGAAACTTATTTTATGTTCAGAAACTTATTTTACGTTCAGCATGAATGTTAGAGTATGCAGTAATTTGAAAAAAAAATAAAATAGGGATTTGGACTTAAAAAAAGGAAAGAATCTGGTTGTCTTCTGGCAAGTTTTTTAGTTCTGGTTATCTGCAAAGTATACACCTCTTGTCAGTATAAATAGGGAGTGCCTGTATAAACATTCTTGTTTCGCCTGTTCCACATAATAGTTTCTTGTATCATATTTCTTTTGACCTCGCTATCTGAAACCAATTACAGGAGATCCATTTGGGCTGCATCTATTTTCATAAGAAGCCCAGGCAGCAGTGTTTTTCTCAGAGATGAATATCAACATCAAATATGCTTCTGAGTGCTTTGTTATTTATGTTTCAGAGAGATTTTGTAGCCTTCAGCTCTCAAGAATGTGTCACGCTGTGCTGTTTATACATTGACGATATTAATGGGCGTAGATGTCATTTTTCATTTTAACGTCTCAAATGCAACAGGCTGATAGGTTAAACATTCCTGTTTTTAAAGGAAAGATAGGAGTGACATCTGCTTCCTAAAAATGCACATTTATTTACTTTTTAAAAACCAAAGTAATAAGTTTACCATCTTTTAGTGTCATCTTTCACTTTATTAAAATGATAAAACTTCAGAAATTATTTTAAGGCATGCTTAAATTAAATACAAGTGTTTTGGAATACAAAATAAAAGCAAGTTGTATCTCATAGTGTTATCGCCAACAAATTGCAAAATCTACCGCAATTTATCAACTTTAATAGGGTGAGTTATATGCAATTAATTTCATTTTTGTTCTGCTTACGTTTTAGCTATGCCAAAGCTGCACAGTAAATATTAAGAAGTAGTGTTCCCAATAAATATTTTACTAGAAGACACAGTGAGTTCTGGAAACCATATGCCCAAATTTCCTGCTTATACAGCCATTACTTAAAGCATTATAATGATTTTCATTTGCATTATTAAAATAATTTCTAATCCTCAGTTCTTTTTATTGCTTTTGTCTACATTGACTTTTTTGTATAGTTTTACTAATTTAGATAACTTAATTAAGGAAAAGTGCCTACTAAATTTGAAACAAATGTTACTGGAAACTGGATACGATTTTGACTGCCTTAGAGTCCGTTCTTGCTGCTGTTAACTCGAGGTAGGACTCAACATAATTTTGATCTGCCAGATTTATAAATGTCTGTTAGTTTGTCTTCATTGAACTGGTTTTAGACAATAAGTTATTATCAGTGTAGTTCACAGAAATGTATAAATGATGGGTGGGAGGGGTGTTTACTTGAACGGTACAAGTTAAACTATGAATTTTGAAAGACACTTTCAAGTTGTCAATTTGTTTTGCAAGATTTAATAGCAACAAATGAATTGGTAGAACTGAATGTTTTACAGTCTCATAATCTTCGCTTATGAATAATGTCAGTAATAATCCTTTGAAATTAACAGTGTGTTTCTGGGAGGTTGTTTACTGAGCAGCACAATCTAAAGTTAAGCAGCACACAGGGAGGAAAAAGTACCGTATGACAACTGCTGTAAGAACAAAGGCTGACAGTGATTTCTCCTTATGAGTTTTAAATCATCTCTGATCTCTTGAAATTGTTTTCTGTTCTTCTTCTATCTCCTGTGTTTACAATAATCTAAACTGCCACAATAAGATCACTGAAGTATTCAGGTAGTCATCATTTATAAGACATTCTGTATCAAAAGATAAGCCTTTACGCCTTTAAAGATATCCCAACCAGCACATATGAATCAAAATAGTTTAAGTAGTAGAGCCTTTTATGCAAACATATCCTGTTGTGCTGCCTTGCTTTTTCATAAAGTGGGACTCTTTTTGTAGTTAGCGGTGGGAAGTCATCCTTTCTTAGGCTGCTTCCACAGGAGTACGCTAGCCACAATTTGAGATGATGCTGTCTAGCTTAAATCTAAGCTGCAACATACTATAATTCTCTAATTTTCAAGTACTGTAAATGTACAGCTTTACCAGATGCGTGCTTGCTTGTTTTATTGTATTGTCACGAGATGACTTTTTCCACTAAGGAAGATCAGGATGCTAAAAAAACTTGCAGAACGTTCCAGTTATTTGCAAGTATACATCAGTATTATATCATTACAGTTCCTTTTCCAGATAAAGGCCATGTAATGAATTTTCTGCAACCGCCACAAATAAAAAATAATTATCTGTATGGTTTTTCCTGTTTTCTGTAACTCCAGATCTCTTCTCTGGTTCTTGTAGCAATATCACTTCGAGTGGTGAGGTTGGTTTTCCTGTAAAGTCTCCCATGAATTCAGGAGCGCAATGGTTCTCTTGCTTCCATTCAAGTTTCCCTTTCGGAGGGCTCTAAAGATTGGGAAGGCTTAAAAATTCACCATAGATCTTCTGTTCACACATTTAATCCGTGTTTTGTGCTTAAACCACTGCAAGATGTTGGGACCAAATCCTGGTGCCCCTGAAATCAACAGATATATTTGTCTCTGATCTCAGACAGAGCAGGATTGTCCTTTAGGATCTGCTCAAGAACTGAGTGTGCAGAAGAGATTATGCTATTCACATAGGAAACAGGGCATCCAGTGGTTCCTTGGTAACAAAATATTTCAAGTGCACTTTGAAATATGTTAACTTTTATTTATTTTTGGCAGAGAGAAGCTAGTTCTGTGCGTCTGGTTGCTTAGGTTCAGAGGAATGTATAGTCTTTGTAAAGCTGACCTGTAATTACTTGAGAATTTGATGAAACAATACGGGGATTGTTGTGGGAATGTCTCCAAATGTTAAAAGTCTGCTCTGCAAACTTTGTACCAGAGCCTTCTATGGGGAGACGAATCAATGTTGTTAGGAGATGGTGCTAGTGCATTCAGTTTGTTTACTTTGGTTTTCTATGTCTGCCTGCCTTCTCAGAAAACTTGCTTGGAGCCAGACTGTAGCAGCCCTCTCTCTGTCTTTTCATAATTGATCAGGGGATGACTGCCTTCCCTGAGGGTTAAGACGTGGCAACTTTTTCTGTTTGCTCAGCATCTCAATGCAGTAGTTCAAACATTGTTCACACCAGCTGGCAGTGTAATGCCATATGCACATCTTGTCAAAGCAACTGTTGTCATGGATACTAGAAACTATCTTAAAAACCAGCTCATTTGAGTCTAATCAAAATTGTACCTTTCTTTATCAGTTGAGAATCTTTATTATTTTAGGGAACATTGATCAAATGGCATTTATTGCACTATATTCCAGCTACGGTATGTTTTAATAATGCAGATAATAGTGTGATCTATTTTAAAGCTGTAACTGCTATTTACTGAACTGGTTTTTTAAGGTGGGGGTGGGGAAAAAAGAGTTCTCCAGGTAGTTTCAGTGGAAATGTTTTGAATCTTTTTTTTTTTTTTTTTCCCTTAAAAAATACCGCTTTATAACACTTGGCATTTTAAAAATAATTTTATAGGGAAAAAAAATTCAGATTAGCCTTCCTTGGGTAAGTGGCTTGCTTGTTTACATTTCATATGTTTAACTGTATTTTGCTGAGTTGGAATGAAAACATAAAATAAATGAAAACATTTTCTATTTTGATTGGGATACTGTCATCCCAGAGCCTGATCTGGTTGGTTGAGTAGTAATTTCTTTGTTCTCTGATTTTCCAAAGAATGCTGATGAAAACCACTCATTTTTATTTGGCATTAAAACTGCACTTTATTTTGTCAAAGGAGAGGTTTCTCCTTGAATTGTAAGTACAAAAAGTGTTTTTAATCTTCAATGAATATCCTTATTAATTCACTTTCAAGATAATCTGATGTTGATTTGTCAAATTTAATTACAGCTTCCGGTAACACTTGAAGTCTACTTGCTTTTGCTTCAAAATTCTAATATGAAAATGCAAATTGAATGATAATTTGCAAGGGAGTGGGCATTTTAGTTGAACACTCAAAGACAAGTTCCTTGTGGAAATGAGGCTATTGATGCAGTTTATGATTTTTCCTCTTCAAGCACTTTAAACAAATTAACTTTATTTCCTGCAGGATTTCATGTACATCCATAAATTCTAGTGAAGTCCTATATATGTACTTTCAGATTATTTTCTTTATGTTTCAAGTAAAAAACAAACTGCTGTCTAGCAAATACAAATCGAATAGGAGGGGATTGCATTTGTTCGGTTGGACTTTTACCTAACATTAGCAATGAGTAACTCATCTCTTTCTAGGAACCGGTAGAAATTATTTACTTTTTTTTTTTTACTTTTAGGCACTCCAGGCAGCAAGGCAGCTGCTTTTACAGCAACAGACAAGTGGACTGAAATCTCCTAAGGGCAGTGATAAACAGAGACCACTGCAGGTTAGTAAAGTATCCTTGCTTTTGGGGCCTTACTCTCAGGGACGAGCGCTGTGCGTGCTCACACGTGAGGTGCGTGTGCCTGTGCCTGTGCTCTTATGTTGTGTACGCGCATATTCACATATAAGAGGTTACAGGCTCACACGCTGGCGACTTCTCATTCACTGAGAAAATTCACTGTAAGTTACAAAAGCCTTTTGTGGCTATAGATGCTTAATAGGTCTAAGACTGAGTTCAGTAGCTATTGTAGGAATTCATTCTTTATAGACGTGTTGCAAAATTGGTATTTGATTTTATACACACATGAATTAAATTATAAAAATGGCTGGGTTAAGACTATGAGTAGAACAGTATCCAGAAAACAAGTCAGCTAAATAACTCCTCAGTACTAGATATAAGTGGCAAACAGAGAAGTGTTCAGAAACTATCAACGCAACTGCATGAAATTATGAAAGAGCTGCTTCTGCCATTTTAGAAAAAAAGATGTCGTAGAGTTTTTAACACTGGGGTGCCGTTGGGCTTCAGGTTGTGTTTTGATGAATCGAGTTCTGTTATTGCATAATTATTTAAAATGCATTATTAGTAAAACTACGTATAGCATTTTATTCTTGAAAAAAAATATCTTTTTTTTTTGAGGTTTTAGTTCATTTTTTGCTGATTCAGAATTCCATATGAAATTGCATTCTGCTGACAAAACTGGTTCTCTCATTCTGTATAGACCAAATATGGGTGTTTGACTACTGAAGTACATCTGTTGCAGACAAAAGATGTTCATGAGAGATGATTTTATTTTGTTCAGGAAACAAAAATGTTTAACTCCTACCATTCTCTTCCTCACATCTATTTTTCTGGGTGAGCCATTATCTTCTTGGGACTTCCCCCTGTTTTCTGATGGAATAGGGCATTTTTATCACATTTTTAGTTTTTGTTGTGCATAATGGAGGACCCCAGGGGCCAGAATTTATCTTTTTCTCTACCAGTGAAGTGTTGTGAAATTTGATCACTTGTGCAATTTTTGTATGTATTTCACATTGTCTCCTTTTCTTTGTGAAACCTCATGGAGCAATGCTGAACACAGCAAACAGTTCCACATTCCACATCAGCTCTCTTCAAATACACTTTAAAAGTTATATTTATTTGCTCAGAACCAAACAAGAACTTAGGGAAATGACTAAAGAAAATGGAAAAAAAGAAAACATGTCAAGTTGGCATCTTGCCATGCTGTAGCTATAGTCCAGTCCAGAGGTGTAGGAGTCCTGGGACCATCTCAACTTTCCACTCTTTGCCCTTGACTTTTCTTTGTATTAAGTATCTTCTAGGCTGAAGGCATACAAGAAGAATAGTCATAAAGGCAGCAGCTTATGAACTACTTAGTTTTTTAGTTTTTGGAAGTGGAATTGGTGATCTTGAATGGTTCAATCATGATATGATTGATTTAATGAATACTGTGAAAGTAGTTTATCCTGCCAGCTCCTCATTCTGAAAGATAACATGGGCTGTATTAGGAGTGTACAAGGTCCAGACGCTGGGGAAGTATATGAAACAGGCAAAAATAGTGGTATTTTTCCAGGATATGTTTCCCAGTGAATTTAGCTTACTTAATCCTCCAACTTGTAAGCTGGAGCAGTTCAGGAGGTACTGACTTCTCTGTTCACATTCTCCACCCATTTGTAAACCTTTTTTTCATGGCTGAAGAGATGCGGGGGTGTTCTGTTTGTGGTAGGCAAAGATGAAAGAAGAGAAAACCATGTTTGGAGACAGACAGTCGTACATACAGCCCAGAGGATGATGAGGTGAGGAGAGGGAGCCTTGTGCTTTCCTACTCCCAAAGCACTAACCCTGGCCTGATGCCTTTTAAATGCTATGGGATGGTGTATTGTAGAGACATCGTGTATTACGTGTTTGCCAGGAAGAGTCACTGCCTCATGAGTCACACTTGAGAGGCAAGAAGAAGAAAATAAAGCAAATAATTTTCTTTTCAGGATTGTTACATGCTCCCTAAAGCCAAGATTATTGCGCATGTTTCCAACTTTTCCTTCCATGATCAGTATGTACACAGTGCCTCTTACTAGCCTTGGACAATCAATTTGGTTCATTTTTAAATGAGGTAAAAATGGAATTTGCTCCCAGACTTTGTTTTATGTATCAAATATGGTGTAAATTCAGGTATGAGCACAAACTCCATTTTTATTTTCTTCTTTTGTGAAAAGGATGTATAAATGTTTTGAAAATGAGTCTTTGAAGCTTTTCTATTTCTGTCTTTTACTGTTAATACAGAGCTGTTCATTGTTAGTTATGTAGTGGAAATTCACATTTTGAGCATTGTGATGCCTGTTTGACCAAATACTGTAATATGGGTCATAAAATTGTCCAGTATTATTACTTTATTATGCCAAATTTAATAGTAACTTTAGCCAAAATTGCCTAGCAGTAGAAATTGCTAAATATGTATAATCAATTTGTGGTTTATAAGACAAAAATACTTGTGCTTGTGTTTGTGCTTAAGGAAACAGACTTCTCCCAATATTTTAAAATACTTTAATATTAGTGTATTTCTAATTTCCTCTAATTTCAGAGCAATTTACTGATCTGGCAACTGGAGAGATGTTAAAACTGATGTATAAAACTAGTAAAAACCTAACAAAACTTTTAAAACTAGCTCACACATCTGCAGGCAAATGTGGGTGTTAGGTAAGCCTTGCCATTGCGTCTCTCATGTGCTCCGTATTTTGATGTAAACTATTCTATTGTTCCACATGCCAAAGAAGGAAAAAAAACAGGTACTAATTTTAGTGGCCTTCTTTTCGTATTTGATGGATATTTGGGGGAAAGTAGCATATACTGTTTTTATATATATGTTCTCTCTGTTATTCCATAATGCATCAAGTATTTTAGTGACTTACAGCACCTACTAGCTAATCAGCAAGTTGAAAGCTTATTGAAGAAATCTTCAAATTTGTGTCCTCAGCTTTGCAAAAACAGGGTGTTGGGTAAGTCGTCAAGTTCTACTGTGCTTTACAGAGGGAATGGTTTTAGAGAACCACTGGGATTTTCCTAGAAGAATTTGAGTGTCTTTTGTATCCTTCTCCTGAAAAACCTTTTAAAATTTACCGCTAGCTATGTGATCTATTGTAAAAGAAGAATGTTGTGGTGGCAAATGTTTTTGTTTTAGTTTTCCTTGCAAAAGTGACTGGTATCTAGTAGTTATCCTGTATTTTCAGGGAGAGGAGGTTTATATTTAGATCATGAGTTAACAGAATACCTGCAAAAATTACAGTTTTAGATAGACGCTTATCTTGATCTACTATTACTTTCTGATTTACATTTTTCTGGGTTTCAGACTACAGATGGCATAACCATTATCATGTCTTATGCAAAACAGAAGGTGAAAAGCATCCCATCTGACAAGCTTGAGTACCGATTGTAGTAGTGATTTTACTTTCATGTATCGATATCCGAGTAAATGTATTTGAAACATGTTTATATATGCCATTCATTACACTGATGCACCAATTGAACGGATCCAATCAGTACCTACATTGATTAGTAACATATTGCAGAATAGCTAAGGAGGGTTTGTGACAAGAGTTGAGGATAATGTTAAGCTGCATATGATGAGATAATAGCATTTACTTCCTTATTCTGCATCCCGGAAAACGTTTTGCAGAAGTAAGGCTAAGGTTTTTGTACTACTGGTTTTTGTTTCAGAATGTTTTTGTTTTCTGGAGAAGCTGTGATTGTGGTAAACTGTAGTTAAACGAGCTGATTGCTTCCACAGATTTCACTCCTTATCACCACAGATCCATAGTAGGCATAATAGGGAAAATATCAGTTTAGCTCTTAGAACCTGTAGATCATTCTCCTGTGGCAGAAAGTCACTGTCATTGCGGCCACTGAAGAACTTGGTGTCATCTAGCCTGAGTTTTAAAACTGGCAGCTTTATTGTTCTTGTTACACTTACCGACATGAGTGAGACTTGCAGTTCTTTAACAACTGTGCGATGCGCAAGTATAACCCAAAGGTAAATGCTCTCAATTTGCTGCCACTCGTGGGTGTTCGTGTACAGCGTTGCAGTTATTTCCCTTCCAGGTAGGCAAATCTTGGTGCTTAGACTAACCTGTCCATGATACACATACTATTGTTGACTGCATAGCATAGCAATTTGGGCAGCTAGTTGTAAATTTATTTGTTTGCTCTAAGAGCTATGAAAAGCCTAGCTATTTCTGTTCTCTGTAATGTCTCTAAAGAAGAGGTTTATTTTCATAAAGTTGGACTTTGAACTTTATTAGAATAAATAGATAATTATCTTCAATCCCGTAAGTTTATCTATTTATTTATCAATTTATCGACAATAAATTGGTTAGTTATTTTTTCCTTCATGCTAGGAGATTTGTTGTTTCAACATCAGTACTAATGCATTCTGTATGAGGATGGCATGTCAGGAAACCATGACTCCTGGAATCAAAGGGTTAAGCTCAGTGTGTACCAAGCCTGTTGTATAAATATCATGCTGTATGGAGTGTTGAGTTGTTAAGGTAAGCTTTGTTTATTTAGCATGAGCACTTCACTGAAGTGTAATCATTTGATAAAATTTGGGAAAAGTAAGTATACATTTAAGTTTAATTACTTAATGTTTATTGCATCAGTGCATAGTATCAGGAGAACCACTTTTTTTAAAGACATGCAAAATGCAAAACTTTAGCATGAAAATCTAGCGTGAAAAGATATTCCTAGTCTGTTTTAACCTACTGTCCTTGCTTTACTCTCTCCTAGTTTGGTCATCTGCTTTTGGATTTTCGTATGGGTCTGAATTTAAAATTCATTGCACATAATAAATAAGCAAACATATCATTAATATTGTAACTTTTAGTTACTTTTTTAAACATACATAAGGAGCTGTTGAGAGAGAAGAAATTGGGAATGTGGGGAAAAAGAAGCAAAACCCACTGCTTTTAAATTATATCCTCTGACTGAACGCACACTGACTGCAACCGTGCATGCATAA